CTTTCTGGAGGCATTCGCAACACATGCCCAAGCCATCGCAGCTGTGACTTCTCAATCTGGAGAAACAAAGAACGCACACAAAGGCTCCTCGGGATATCAGTATTCCGGACTATGTCGAGACGCCTAAGACCAGCGACTCGTCTAAGAAAGCCCGTTTCAGCAGCTCGTACCAATTTTCGAAGTTTTTCAGTGATGGTCTAAGATTCATGACCGTAGGTAAGTATGGGGATAGAGATAGACTTGAATATTGAGAGCTTAGTTTTCAGACTGAGCTCTGCTTTAGTCACAGTGGGTGGGACCAGTTCACGCATAACGCCATTGGCTTCTCCAATTCGTCGGTCGATCTTTTCCTAAAATTCTCCTTAACAAATAAATACGACTCTGAGGCACTTGAACTTCTCCACCTACTTTACTGTCTCTCCGTTAATCTGAAGAGAACAGCGGGCAAAATGATGAGTAAATACTAGGCATTTCGCTTTAAATACGTTCATACGCATGCCGGTCACCTCGCACTTGCATCAAACCTTTCTAGGGGGCACTGTAGATCAGTTTCAGAACATGCCAATAAAACAAGATCGTGCACCGATGCACTCATCGCATGGGCTGTGCCTGACTATTCTATCCATGTACAACACAAATAGAAGAGGAGTCAGAGTGAAACCTTTGGGGGCCTTGGCAAAACTGAAACGCTACAGGCATTTTTCTAATGCTAGTGAAACTGAGGAAAAACATAAAGTATATTTATAAGGCAAATATATTACTCTGAGTAGAGTAAAGTGCATTCGTAATGTATGACTTCTCGGTGTCGGTCGGGCTATGAATGTTGATAACTGTATTGGAATTCATTAAATTTTCATAGGGGTAGCAATAAAGGTGGCATTGATAAAGTTGACACGGTTATAGTAAGCGTATATGATAAGAAGATAACAAACATGAGTTAAATAGATATTGGTAAGGTCAAGGGCATTGGTCACATTAAGATTTTAAGGCTTTTTATAGGGTAGCGATAACGAGGACGACCTACTTATAAAGGTTAGAACGTTAATAAGGTTAGAGTTACTGGCAGGAGTACGAATAATGCCACAGAGGGGGAACAGATGTAGTTGATTTTGATATGGGTAAGGAGAAGAATATAATTCTTTATAATAACAAGATTCAGAG